ACAACCACCATGGGAAAGGTACCGCAGATTAAATGCAATAAGCATGGAAACTATGGTCCAGCCGATGATAGGATTGCCCCGAATGGATAAATTTGACGAAGTGCAATACCCTGAAATTCTCTGCTAATTCATCATGCGTTAGAATTCTAATAGAATTAGAGATTCAGCACAATCTTTCAAATTTAGAAAATTTATGAGATAATTATCTAAAACAGAAAAATTGTCAGCCAAATTCGTCCCAGTCCAGAAAACAATCAGAAATAAAGAGGAGAGAAGGGAAAAAAGGTCGAAACGATTCGACCAAGTTTCTCGTCGCGCGTGGCTGCGAATTTACATTTCCATTAAGATTCCTTCTTGGCCGTGCGAAACGAACGACGAAGAGGCGAACCTCGAAAGAGAGGGCCGTACTCGTGAAAGCAGCAGGGCTCGGTGTAATAAAGTCCCATGGAAATCCTTTGTGTCCGTTCGAACGCGTTCGTTTAACTTTGATCCTGTCTGTGCAGCTCTCGATATTTTCCTTCTACCACGATTCCTCTTTTCCGACCAATCTCTGCCTACGCCTCTCATAAAAAATACAATATATATTCGAACCAGCGTTCTCACCCCTTCGCCGCGAAGATCTGTAAGTTTAATTTAACACGGAAGCCGAGGAGAAGTTGAACCTGCGGATCGCTTGATTGCTTTGTCTTTCGGGACTCTGATATGAATTACAAACTCTCCCCGTTGTCCCTTTCGTCTTTTTCTCTTGTCCCTTCTGTCCTCCAGACCTGTTTTCTTTGCTCCGTCCTGGCCCGTTTAACTTCATTGCATCTCCGAGATTGAGATCGAGATCCGGGTGATGAATTGATGGAAGATCGATCCGATCGATTTTGAGAACTTAAGCATTCAACGAAACGGGAACAATCGTCCGTTGTACCTTTCTTATTTATCCCAGACTGTCCGTGGTTTTTTTTTTTTTTATTACTCTTGCTTGCTTCGTTTGACGTCTTGCTCTGTTTCGTTTTATGATAGCTGTAATTAAAGTTGCGGGAAATTTTAATTGGCAGCTATTAATCGATCGAAGCGAGATGCCTTCTTAATTAACTAGGTTAAAATATTGTTGAACAATATTGAGAGAAAGAATTTTAATATAAATATTTGTGAGTGATGAAAATAAAAAATTCTCATGTCACGGCCACCAATTATCTCTGAAAATAACAAGAACGAGGCTAATTTACGCGTCCATGGTAGCCCATCCAAAGAACCCATCCCTCCCGCGTCCTTTTTACCCCCGGACAGTATTAGCGCGTGAAATTTAAGACAAACTCAACGAAGCGAGGCAGCATTTTTCACGGGGAAAACATGCTACGAGGCCGGCAGCGCGCACAAAACGCCCCCGCCCTCCCGAACGCGCAACCTTTCGTTAGCGAAAATTATCCCGGTACGACAGTTGTTTACGATAAGTGAGGCGAAATAGCAGCAGTGTAAAAACGGCACACGGTCGCGACGAACAGGCGAAAGCAAGAAAAGTCAACGAAATCACTGACCTGATATATTACTTAGCCGGAGCTTTCGTTTGTCTGTCCACGCTTTTTCATCGGTGAGTTTGTGCAACCTATTACAATTCCAAAGTATTCCCCTGAATCCTCATTTATTTTTCATCTTCCTTTTTATCCCTTTTTGGAAATGTGGCGACCAGCGAAGTTCCCAGCGGAGGAAACGGCAGAAGGCCGTGAGGGCCTTTTGGGCGTTCGAGCCGTCGGGTCAAAGGGTAATAAAGCATTAATTCGTGCCGTTTTGCCAGCCCGACGGCCACGCTGCGAAGGATCAGGAAGTTCCTCTTCCCCTCCGCGGAACACGTCAAATTCCCTTTTTGAGGAAAGCATATTCTCGGGCTTGCAAGGACACTCCGGTCTGAAACGTTTTGGAGGCAAGCCACTTTGTCATTGTATTTCGTATTCTACCGATTTCCCTCGCGCGAACCCCTCAGAAATATTATCGGTATCGTTAAATTTCTCATTGTCGTCGCGAAGGAAATATTTGAAAGAGGTAGAAAAGTTCGTACGATGCATCGAGATTTAATTTGTTCCCCGAGCCAGAGATGAAAACTCTGTGTAAAATTTAATATTCAATTTTCTTTCTCTCGTCGAGTGCGTTTGAAATGCTTCCTCATTTTCGCAACGCAATATCGGCAACTCGTCGCAACAGAAATCATTCGATGCTGTTTCCCTCTGTACGCTTCCTCTGCCGGCAGGAATTTATATCTGGTTCCCGCTACGGCACGTATCTCTTTTATCGAGCTACCGCAGGAGGCTTCCGTTTCGGTTTGTCGCAAGAAAAATATATATTGCGATGATGCTATTGCTTTCTCTTTGACCCATAGCAAATACCCGTTTTCTTTGATGTCCTGGTAACAATTTATTTATAAGTATCTTCTCTGTTGAAGAAGAATTTTTTAGCTATAGATCAAGATCAGGACCGTGTAGTCTCTTTCTAGATTCACGCGGATGTCTCTTTCGGAGGAGACGGTAATTTCTCTTCGATTTCTCCATTCTTCGTAAATATTCCACGTACGAAGGGTCAGGGCTCGTTCGGGATTCGGTCAGAACTCGATGAAGATATAATCTCGAGGACGGTTAGACGTGTTCGCGTGTTCCCGCTTATTAGATCGAACTTTCGCTAAGTAGATTCCGATGAAGCTCTGTATTAGTTTGGACGCGCACACGTCGTGGCCGAGTTTCCCGTACTTTTGACTATCCACCCTAGGCGTGAAAACGATTTCCATCACGCACACGTTACACCCTTAATCTATTGTGAAACTCGTGCGACAACCTCATAACTTATGCTTCTGGCGCACGATATGCTCGAGCTTGGATCTTTGCACTATTCAACACCCGCAATATTACATCAAAGAATTTCTATTTGAAAGGAATGATCCCGAACATGGAACTTCAAAAAATTATGAAACTTTGTGAATATGGGGATTTTGTATATTTTTTATGTTGAAACAAGAAATTGTTTTCAAATATTTTTGTCTATAATTTCCTGTTCTAGTATCACAAAATACTATACATTAAGACGAACAATTTTCCCTGATGAAGTTTTCAAATATCTCTAATGGTTTCGGATAAAAAGAAAAAATTTTGAAGGGCTATTTTTACCCCCTTAGATTGAAAACGAAAATAACGAAAAATGCATTTTAATCAGGAGGAGATCTCCTACATATTTACAAAATTTCATAATTTTTTTAATTTCCAAGTTTGGGATCATTCCTGATTAGAAACATTAGAAACTCATTAGTCATTAACTATGCATTTCCAAACAATTTTTTGTTTGGAAGGAAATTGTGATTTTTCAGTAGTTTTCGATGACTAATTGCATAGATAAGATACAACCGACAGGGAATAATATACTACTAGCTTTATCTATTTTCAGGTAGAAAATCTTAGGTAAGAAATACCAGGAATTTTTTTCAACAGCTCGCATATTTCAGTCGCTATGTCAGCCATTATATCCATTTATTTCTTCTCACGATCCCAATGACACTTTCTTCTCGGTGAACGACAAGCCGATGCAACGGCTTATTTATCAAGCTCTGCATCGGGCTTTTGAATGCGCGTGAATCGCGAGTTTCGCGTCGGTATCGTGCTTCGAGCCACTTCAGCCCGCGTTAATGCAGAATCAAGATTAACCCGAGGCGGCGACAAAAAGCCGAGACACGCGTGAAAAGCAGCCGCGATACGAATGAAATTCGACGACCGGCCATCTATTCAACTCGCCGTGAACTCGAAACCATTGTCAACCAGATATAATTCACAAATTTTCTTGCACTACCGATAGGCGAGACGTCGTTCGCTTTCGCAAATACCTCGTTACAATGAATATCAGGCATCGTATTCAAATAGTAGGATCAATGAACCGGTGCTTTGATTTGTATTTATGCCGGGTGTTTGATAAGTTTTTTTATGCAAAATTGAATAGCGTATTCCGTGATCAAAGGTACATTGAAAAAAATTTCATTATTTATAACATTATGAATTCTGAACAGTCTATATTTCTATTTTTCAAATTCCTATTTTTAGATTTTCTATGCTTTATTATCTTAACATTTAAAATTGTTATTTGTTTTCAATTTTTCTTTGTACGTACGAAGAAAGAAATTATTTTGCAATTTCAGACCGATTAGCTTATCGGTAAAGATACCAGGGTACCTTCGAAAACATGTTGTCTCACTATCAGCAGGTTCTCCGAACATTCCATACCGAATACCACACTCCAATTTACCTGATTGTAAATCCAAACTTTCGACCGACGACTGCTTTCACGACCGAACGTAAATTGAACACGGAGCTGGCGAACCGTGTCGAAGTTCAACGACCGATCTCCGAATTTCCTGCACACCTGGAGATCGCCGAGAAATGCCCTCCCTCTTTTTTTTACCTGGATGCCAGGTACCGACTGATTTTTATCAGGGAATCCTTCTAAGAACATGTCTAACATTCATCGGGATTCTTTGGATCGTGTACGAGGAAATCTTCCTTTGGAATTGGGATGAAAAATGGGGTTGTAATTTTTTGTGGACTGAAAAATGAATCTTTTCAAAGAAAGAAATACATTTTTCAATTTCTTCAACTTTCTAACGATAGACTACTGAAATAAGAACAATCGATATTTTGCCATGTGATTGCATTTACACTTTGACAAAACTGCTTCGAGCACAGGTGCATTCAATGCACCCTCAAAATGCATTTCACGTGTAACACTCTACCTCATTGTACCACCCTTCGAATCAAAGAAAGAAACAATTCTCATTCACCAAAATTGTATTTCACTCGCATGCTTGAAAATGTGTTTTCTACAATAGATAAAGGGTTAAGACGATAGAGGAGCGACTGGAAAAGGTTCCATCCCGCTAAGCGGTCGGAGCGGCAATGCGCGCGATTCGCGGCCAGCGTCAGCGCAAAGAAACGGTTCGTAGGGACTCGGCTCCGTTCGGGTAGACGAGTCGCGGCGGCGAGCAGCGAAGTCGGCTCGGAGTCGTGTGTGCGGCCGCAGTCACTCGTGGAATCCTGAGTCGCGTCAGTGCTCGGACGGACGCGATCGCGCGTGAGTGTGTCGTATAGCGGTGTCTTGTTTGTTGGTTTCTTCGCCGTGGAAAAACTTCAGTGCGAGCGAATCGGGACGAGAGAGAAGGAAGTGCGTGTTTCCGGTCCGGTGATCGAGTACGACGGTGAACAAAGGGACACGCCGAAGAATCGTGTCTGTCTTGGAGCATCACTCGATAAACAATTTCTGGTGCAAAATAATTCATCGAATCATTCGAAAAAAAAAATATTCATCCTTGCACCTGGCATTTTTCGTCGGCTTCGAATCTTGATCGACAACCTGATCCCTCGATCGATTCACGATAGATCCTACTCCAGATCAGAAGTCTGATAATCTCTGAACGTTTGTACAACCTTCGTCTACTTGTGGCTTCTACGAACCGTCCATACGCACGTGTTCGCGCAGCGGAAACACGTCACTGTCAGATTGTTCGGTGGACGATAAGACTTCCGTTTTGTCAGACCTGACAGGAGTTCGCGCGAGGGACCATCCTGCGGAACGAACGGGTCATTCTTTGTATCGCGACAGAGCTGAAATTGGCCAAAAATCGAGAGAAGCTCGAACGAGGTTACGGTGCGCGGTCACGCGTGTGCGGAAAGTGTAGATGCTCGATAAAGCGTTCGTTTCGATCGCGCGAAGTGAAAACGCGAGGAGGATGATAATTGGCGGCGACCCGGTTAATTAACGTTGAAAGTTTGATCGGCGCGGCATCGAACCCCGACTCCGGTTCTTCTGGTAACTTTGAACTTTGTGTCGGAAGGAAAAGTGTGGAGAAAGTCTGTGATACACGCTCGATCTTTCGAGCGCGGGTTCAACGTTTATCGTGACTTTGAACCGTGCGAGAACGAGCGAAGAAGAATCAAGGAGAGTCTGTGATACACGCTCGGTCGTCGAAGCGAGTTCAACGATCGCTCATCCGTCCAGAGATAGATAATTCAGGTATGTTCGCCATTCCACGCGTGTCACGTTTCCATGTTTTGTGTACCTATGTTCATGAGTTCGACTCGTGCGTTCGTCGTTCAACGTTTCGTTATGAAGGTCGAAACGCAATTACCCATCACGCCTTTACGACGTGTGTTTATGTAAATATAAAATCTTACATATGGTTAATAAGGGAAATTCAATTAAGTAAAACAAGGTAAATGTCTACAATTACGGTCCCAACGAGATATCAATTGAAAAAAGGTAAATTCTATGTATTTTTGCCCTTCGAATCTAAAACTGTTGATAAAATTTGGGGGTCGCTTGTATTTTCTAAGATATTGTGGTAAATATGGACATAAAATCATTATTTTCAAAAGTTAATGACTTTGTAGGATGGACAATACTTTTAAAGCTTATCACTAACTTGCATAGGTTGGGTTTGACCAGTTAACAATAGTCTCCTTGCTCAGTTCTAATTCCTGTCCATAGAATGTATAGCGTGGAGAACAAATATCCAATAAAATGGGCAATCGTCGTGATATAAAGATTAGAATTGGCTAGCCATGTACCACTTTTAACACTTTGTTTAAGGAGACTATAACCTAACTTATGTATCTTAAAAAATACAAGCGAATCCCAAATTTTATCAACAGTTTTGGATTCGAGGGGCAAAAATACATAGAATTTACCTCTTTGCAATTGATTTCTCGTTGGAGCCTTAATTGTAGACATTTACCTAAAACAATTCTAGAAACTCTAAACTTAATGCTTAGCAAACCAAGTGGATGAGAATCATTTTCAGTACCGTGCGGAGTTAATTTTACCCTGAATATTATTTTCTACAAAAATGCGCTTTGACCCTTTGTCATGTAATATCGAGTTACACTCGTGACGCAATTTACATTTCAAATGTGTCAAATTTGAGTGGTACTTTTAGTATGGTTAAATTTTGAGTTTAATTCTAATTACAATTTGCCCAATCAAGGATCTTTGAATGTCATGTATGTATGGTATTTCAATTTTCTTTATTTATTTTAAAATTTGGGCAATGAAGAGTTAGCTTTGACTGACACAACTGTCGAAAAAATTATAAAAAAATTTCGATTTTATAGGGTAAATAAAAATTCATCTCTTAAAAATGAACAATAATGAATTAATAATTTGTCAAAAATATGTTTTTGTATTACAGTAGTTTCAAAACCGTAGGGTTAATTTAACACCTATGGGTTATTCGCGAAAGGTTAATGATATTAGGTCATCTAAACTGAAAATGATAAACAAAGAATCACCATCTGTTTCTTTCCTATTCAGAAATGATTGATTGTTGCGATTAGTACGTCGACCGGCACAGTAGAAACAGACGTGCTATAAGTAGTAGGACACGTTGATTGCCACAGTAGAATCAGCGGTATAGTAAGACACTGTACGTCAATTATTCAGAAGGCAATCGTTTAATCTTTCAATATCAGCTTTTCACTTTCTACCTTGTGTAATAAAGTTTGCTGTAATTCTTATTCTTTGTCTATACGGACCCTATAGCAGTCAACGTGATAATTAATCCTTAGATTTATAATAAAAATTATCACCCTACTTTTCTACCCTTATTCCTTAGATTACTAAACGGGGCAACTGAGGTCCCTCATATTTGAATGTTTTAATTTTTAATTACATTTATCTTTAGCATCTATAGTATCTTTATTACTTATTATTGACCCAATTTGTATCTATTTAATTTTCTACATTATTTTCAACTGAAAAATTAATGTGCATTAAACGTCGGTAGTTCTAGTGTTAAAGAAATAATACAAATGGTAGTAAATCTAAAATAAAATGAAATAGAAATTCGCTCTCGAAACTATCACTATTTCTACGACGACATTTGATTAAAGTGTGAAAATCGATCAACTATCTTTTTTATTCGTGTACGTTTCACCGTCGGTTTTTCCTATAGAAATCGATCGTAGACTTGACGGAAAGATAACGCGGATAACTCGTCTTTTGTTCGTGACTTTTTTCAATGGAGTTAGCCTGGCTTTGTAACGCGTGATGCTTTTCGGAATTAAACGAACGCGCTCGTTGCCCGTGCTCCGGCCTCGGAGCCAGTTTCCGTTAAATGGATTTTCGCTGTTTCTGCTGTTTTATTGCTGAACGTGGGTTGTTTTAATCTGTCACGCTTTCATGGTGACGGAAGTGCGAACGATCGTGGTCCCGCGTGAATGTCTTCGTTTCACTAAGACACTAGCTCGTTATCTGTCGCTCGTTGTAACTCCTTTTGCGATCACTTTTATCGCCTCCACGTTCGCTCTCGACGCGATGATAATATTTTAACAGATAGACCTTGGTATCTCTACATCTTGGAATTTCTTACGTTTATCAGTATTCTCGTTCGAAGAAAAGACAAATGACGAGTACTCTTATCTTTACGAAACCTATAATGAACGATTTGGTGTTAATGTCACAATTTAATTTGAACAATTTTAATCAGTCTTTTATAAACGGTGCTAATTATAGCTTACACAGGAATTTAATCATTTATTTTTAAATTTTTGTCTGCTTAATCAAAATACTGCGGTCATAGCATACAGAAGTTAAAGAGAAGACTTGAATAAACAAGAGGATCGACCGTTAATGTAAACTTGTTATTTAGTAACTTTAAACATCGTTAGGAATTCATATGTTTGACGTCATGGGATGTTAGAACATTCCAATTGAAGGGTTTTCAGTAATTCTACGAGGTGTCATCAATACACATCAGCTCCCTTCACGATCAATTTAGAACGAAAATAGAGACACGTGGCTGACCATCAACCCTAAACGACCCTCGTTTAGGGTGACGTTAAAGTACCATTATTCACTCGAAATATGCGTACCGTGTGTTTTCTAACACGCAATTGTTTCCATTACACAAATTAAAATTTATTTCTTATTTTCGAAGGTTGTTCGATAATGTCTTTATACACTGATATTTACGAAAGATCCGTTTTACATGCGTAACGAGAAGCGTCAGTCGACGATGGTACGTGAATAGTATGCTTTATGTTTAACCTACTATTCAACGCTGAATAACCCAGAAAGAATCGAATTACCGCTAACTCCAGAACGCTTTCGATCCAAACGAAACCACAAGCAAGCTAGATGCAAACTTAAGTCTTCGCGTTGAATTACAATGAATTGAGAAACCTACCAGATGCGATTACAGTTATTACTTACAAATATCATAGAAGGTGAATATAGTTTGTTCATTTGAAAAATGAAGTGAAAGTGCTTTGCTTTTCCTCGACTGATAATTCCAGTTCTGATATCACTTTTACATCAGAAAGTCCTGGCATTAGGAAATTGTGCATGATTAATTATTTACAATTTCTTTGAAATTTTTAAGTTGTTAGTTTCAGTTTTTCTTTTATTCAACGGGTCAATCGCTTATGCCATATCTGAATTGGATTTCCATAGAAATCTATCATTTCTATTATTAGAAATATTTTCACTTATCTAATTGGAAATATTTATATCAAATATTTGAAATCATGAAATATTTGAAATTATCAAATTATTGCTGCATGCATAGGCTTATCATTCAGCAGTCAAAGTTGAATTTCCATAAGAATCTATCACTCCTATTATCAGGAATATTTTCACTTACTTGATTAGAAGTATTTATATCAAATATATTGATGAAATTATTACTGCATGCACACACTTATCACTCAGGCGTCAAAGTTCCTCTGTAATATTCCAATTATACCCATTATCTCTTCTAATTGCAGTAATTTGAAAAATTCAGCCGTAAATCGCCTAATGAATGCCATTTCGGAGGAAGTTACAATTATTGAACGTTTCATTTCTAACAACCTAACACATGTAGATACATTCTGACTGTATCGTCGTCCGCGAGGAAAGGGTTAAACGGGTCAGCGTTCATTCTCGTGTGATCTGAAAAGTTTGGAATTCTTGAGAGGCAGAATCTTCTCGTGGATGTCTGGTGTCGGCTGGACACTGGGTGTACCGGTTCGCCAAGTCGATGAACTCGAAGAAGGTTGACCAAGGCCGTTTCGGCCTATTTATAGCGAGCCGGTAACGAAGTAGACATTTGCGAGGAATCGTATTTTCGTAGATCCACAAAGAATCCTCGCCTCGGGAGACTGAATTATTTTAGCGACGCCTCCCCCGTAACCGAGACCTCTCTCCCTCGGAACGTTTCCACAAGAGAGATTATTATAAATAGTTTCTTATCGGACGTTCTCGCAATGATTTCGAGGAATTCGTGTTGACGTACTGCGAATGATAAGATTGGTCAAAGTTCAGGCACATTTTTGTAGGAATATCAGAGCTGGATTTTTAAGAATAAACGTTTGATAATGATATTAATGACGTACTTTGATAACTTGACGCATTGTCTTCCACTATTCCACTACCGATTATCAATTAAGGGATTTTCTTATTGTGTCGATTCAAGGAAATCGAATTATTTTTTATTGCACCTTCTTAACACTAGATTTACCAAACCAGTATAAGCGACTTATTTCGAGTTTCTTATATTAAATTATAAATTTAATATAATATTTCTATAATCAAGATAACTGGAGAATGAATGGCTAGATTCATTTGAAATTTTGGGGATACATTCCTCCATCTCTAAAATTTTTTTGATGCGTTTGAAACAAAAAGTTTGAAACTCAGAAAAATGGAAGTAAAAAAATCTAGGGAAAAAATCCACAATTCTGGGTAGAACTATAGCTACAATCGTTCAGATTGAGAATCTTATTAGTTCTTCTGTTGTAGATAACTATAGGTAATAATTACAATTGTGATTAGCGTCTACAAACTTTTTTGGGGAAGCTACGACAGGGTGGCTGGGATGCTATTACTTATATTGTACAAATTTCTGGTTTTGAAAATATTTTGGTATATTCCTTAAATGTATAACATATACGAAAAGTTTTACATTAGTTGGTTTCGTCGTTTTTATTTAAAAAATTCTCAAAGATTACCCTACTTTGAGCACCCTTGAGAAACCC